AAAAGTATTTAATTTACTTTTTATTTATTGTATCCATAATAATTCTTCTATTATCATAAAAACTGTTTTACAATTAATTAAAATATTTTGTAAGGTTTTGGTAAAGTTTTATATGCTTTATGTGGCAATACAAAAATTTTTAAGAATTTAACTATGTAAACTATAGAGTATCAAAATTCGAATGTAATATTTTAATACTTTACAGTTACATATAATTTTACATAACAATAAATATATTCTAATGTAAGTACAAACCTTTGTATTTGATTACCACTTTTGATTTCACCACTACTTTACTTATAATAAAATGATTAATATATATTGTTATCAATAATTTGTAGAATAATTTCTGAAATTGATTCGTTATCTTTCCAAGAATTATATTTAAAGATTGTTATTGTACTTCTGTAGCGGAATTTAATGTAGAGATTTCAAGCTGAAAAGGTCCGTATAATATTAACTGCCTGTAATTATAAATAAGATATTTGGGAAAAAAGTTTATTACAAGATTATCCGTGTCCGTCAAATCGATTAAACTCGGTTTAACACACAATTTCTTGGAGACTTCATTATGTACTGTATCTGTTACATCATTAGGTATATGAGTAATATCAATAGGTTGTAAACGAACTATTTCGTCGTAAATAGATGCGTGTGCTTGTTGCAGATAGCTTTGTTGTTGTAATCTTATATTTTTTCGTACAGTATTTCTTTCCACTTCTGGTAACACAAAGTTATAAATCATATTTGCTACCAGTTCTTCTTCTGCTATTCTTGATGCACTAAAATATTTAATAAAAATTATTTAATAATATTCTGAAGATTTTTATTTTCTTATGCATTACTTGTAATGTGCATGCTTTGCAACACTATCAACTTTATCACACAAGCTGTTAATATATTCTTTGGCTGCCTCATCGGACACCCATTCGATTCCTTCTTTAANAATGTAATATCTTAAAACTTTACAGTTACATATAATTTTACATAACAATAAATATATTCTAATGTAAGTACAAACCTTTGTATTTGATTACCACTTTTGATTTCACCACTACTTTACTTATAATAAAATGATTAATATATATTGTTATCAATAATTTGTAGAATAATTTCTGAAATTGATTCGTTATCTTTCCAAGAATTATATTTAAAGATTGTTATTGTACTTCTGTAGCGGAATTTAATGTAGAGATTTCAAGCTGAAAAGGTCCGTATAATATTAACTGCCTGTAATTATAAATAAGATATTTGGGAAAAAAGTTTATTACAAGATTATCCGTGTCCGTCAAATCGATTAAACTCGGTTTAACACACAATTTCTTGGAGACTTCATTATGTACTGTATCTGTTACATCATTAGGTATATGAGTAATATCAATAGGTTGTAAACGAACTATTTCGTCGTAAATAGATGCGTGTGCTTGTTGCAGATAGCTTTGTTGTTGTAATCTTATATTTTTTCGTACAGTATTTCTTTCCACTTCTGGTAACACAAAGTTATAAATCATATTTGCTACCAGTTCTTCTTCTGCTATTCTTGATGCACTAAAATATTTAATAAAAATTATTTAATAATATTCTGAAGATTTTTATTTTCTTATGCATTACTTGTAATGTGCATGCTTTGCAACACTATCAACTTTATCACACAAGCTGTTAATATATTCTTTGGCTGCCTCATCGGACACCCATTCGATTCCTTCTTTAATAACATCCTCTAAATAAACTTCCACGGAATCTTGATGAACTTTTATAATTTGTCTGAACATTTCATCGAATTCTCTTCGTCGATTGCGTTCCAACTGGCGTCTTCCAGCTTCTGCAGCCTCTCTCATGGCTCTTTCTCTCTCAGCTAATAAGGCAAAAGCATGTATTCGACGTTCATCTTCCAATCTTAATAGTTCCTTAAAGAAGAGAAGATTAGAAACAAAGAATAACATGCACTCTCACAAAGTCATAAATACATAGAATTAATTTTAAACTGTACTTTGCTGAGGAAATTCAATACTGCTGAGAGAGACATTCCTTCCAATGAATCAAGAATTTCACATAAACGATCCTCTTGAACGAATCTCTCATTTTGTAAACGTAATAAGTCTATTGCATGCTGTTTCTCGCTGTGTCGTTGCTTTTTAGTTTCCTCCTCTATTCCGTGAGATGACTGCAATTCTTCAATCAATTCTCTACATCTATTGCGTCCTTCAAACATCTGTAGAAAAATAAATGTGTTTATATACAATAGTTTAACAGCAATTGAAACTAACAATTACCATGCATTGAATCGCTCTTCCTCTAACTATTTTTTGAATAAGAGTAGATAATTGATGCAAGTGCATGTCTTGTTCATCTTCTGTATACATTTTATATGGTGTTGGAGGCAAAGACGGTGGTCTATACTTGCGCTTTAATAATGTTGGTGTCTCTGTGTGCTCTGTTTTTAGCCTTATCTGTCTCAAATCATTGTATAATTTTTTCAACTTTCCTTCTGTCCATCTTGTTTCTCTAACACACATTTCAAATGATTTAGGCTTTGGTGTGAGTAACTTTAATTCATCGAGCGTTGGCATACAACTTGGTAATACATTTATTTTTTCTGCATCTAGATTAATTAATGTAAGATAACAAAATACAATGAAGTCGTATCCAAAATGCATAGATATAAATTTACCTTCATCAGTGCTTTTTTTCAATAACTTCTTTTGAATCACTTCGTGTCTTCTTTTTGGATCTTCACCATACCGCATTTGTGGTGCATACACCTCAGATGCTGGGTCAGCATGTTCCTTAATGATATCACGTTCAACAGGATGAGATTTTTCAAAATGCTTTCTCTGAAGTTTCCTCAACTCTCTTCTAAGGTTGTGCCGAATAGAATGTATGTGTTTGTCTCTACGTTTAGACAAAAAATCTTTTAATCGATGAAAACGACCTTGTATTTTCTCTTCTTTCTCAGCTTCATGAGATTTTGTTATTTCATCCATCAATTGGAGTCTATAATCCATTATAGCCTGAATCTCCTAAAGTACAAATGTTACTCTCACCACATACTGTTTTCCTAAAGTTAATGCAGATACCATTATGCTTTTATAAGGAAATATTTACTGCTTCTCTAAATGCCCATTCGTCTACTTCAATTGCTGTTAGAATAGCTGTTCGCAGTTTTATATTGGCAGGTTTATCCATAGGAGGAAGAACTTCTTCCCATTTTTTCTTCATTCTCATTCTATTAATAACTTCCAGCTCATGAAGTCCTGGTGGTAATCCTTGATTCCAGCTTAAATGTGCTATTGTTAATACTTCAGGATTGTGACCTGAAACATTAATAATTGGATAAAGATAGCCATTAGAAAGCTTATTAAATAGGCTTTTGGTAGGTAAAGTATTAATATCGTTCACCTTTTTTAATCCTATATGGAGGTTCCCATGGAACAGTTTGTGTATCGCTATCCCTGTAATCTGTTTGGGTTCCTATATTTCTGTATGGTTCTGATTTCGATAAAAATTCATAACACTGTTTTTGCGCAGTTCTCACTACGTCATTAAGAATATCATGATTGAAACGTTCCGGAATTTCTACATTTTGCGTTTTTGGTGTCAAAAATGGCATAATCGGTCGCCGAAAATATTTATAGTTATAAGAACACATCATTTCTCCCGTCTTCTTATGTCCAGTCATTATCCTACAAGCATTTGAATTACTCCAAGTATTCTACTTACAAAAAATCAATGTTAATTTATTTTTTTGGTAACTCACTTGCAGTCTGAAATCCAATCATTTTTCTTATTATTATATTGTTTTGTGTACTTTGAGGAATTTTTTATGTCGATATTTTCGCACGTAGTCTGTAATATTGTAACAATTGAGTTTATAAATTTCTTAATTAAGTACTGAAAAGATATATAATGATACTTACAACTGTACAAGCAGCTTGTACACTGGACATTTTATATCTCGTCTTTTCACCATGCACAATGCAAGTGGTCTCTGCATATGTTTCTGTATTAAAATTACTTTACTTATATTAATGTAAAATCTATAACTTACGGCTCACTACTTCTTTATGTGTCATTATAAATTGATAATTAGTAACTCCATATATTATTTGAATAATTCCTTTCAAAAATACAGGAATGCAATTATCA